TGAAGTCAAAAATCATGTTCCTAAAGAGGCTGGGGGACTGGGTGGTGGTGTTCTGTTCAGGAAGCAGAGAAAGTGAGAATATAGAGAAACCTCAACTTGATCCAGATGCAAGGGACTAGATAACATAAATTTGTAGGAGACCCAATCAACACAGCTTAATGACCTCCTCTAAGTCCACTGAGTAGCACATAAAGAGGAGTGACAGAGTCAGGTGATGGCAGTAATCTAGGTTTCAAGTTTGGCAAGATGTGATTAGCAATAGGACAAAGGGGCAAGGGACTGATTAGTAGATGACAGTATGGAGTTGTATGGTTCCCCAAGAAGGTCAAGATTGTGAAGGGAGCAAAGTGTAGTCTAGGGTTACCGAGACAGAACTGAGGAATGGAGCCAGATGGAATGATAATATATTACTATGATATAAAGATTTCAGAGTTCATGAACATGTAACAGGAACATTCCTCGGTAATGGCAAGATTAAGGGTATGAGGATCTCTATATATATCTGAGGTAGAATGTAAGAATAAGGCAAGGAAACTGAGTAGATTGGGAAAGTAGGAAGTTAGAGTATTTACAAGAACATCAATATGCATGTTGAAGTCCCCTAGTATGAGGACAGGAGTTAGGGTGGAGAGAAAGATAGAGAGGCATACACAAAACTCATTGAGAGAGGAGGCAGAATGACCTGGGAACGGGAGGAACAGTCATATATTTGAATGGTGGGAACTACAAGGTGAAGAGTTGACTGAGCAATGGTGGCATAGGAATAATCTAGAAGTATCCATGAGGAATGTAGAAGCAGACTACCCCACTCCTTTTAGAAACATTAAGAAGGCATTTTTAATTATCCTAGTCTAAAGTCTAGCCATTTTTTCTTAGGAAACTATGCAAATTGTTAAGAATGAATGCTAAGATTCCAGAAAATAGATTAAGGACAGTGATCAAATGTAGGACAGGGAATACTTCAATTTAGTTAAGGTCTGTCTATTCCAATGCCTTAACCAGATTAAAGTATCTATCAGACAATAAGAAGGAAAAGGACTTTTATTACTTCAGTTAATGAGAGATTTCTTGAAGTCACATTTGACCATCTGGAGAGGAGCCTCCTCAAAGGGATAATTTTAGGAAAATTAATGTCCTTAGCTCTGCCAAAAGTTGTCACTATTTTTCTGCTTGATAATGCAAATTTTAACTGAACTTTAGCCTAAACTGTGAACCTTTGCTCAATCCTGAATAAATTTATGTTCAGGGCAGGGATGCCTCAGGCACTGAGGGAAGTTCCAGGATAAACCAGCTAGTAGAGAAGGGATCTCTGGGAATTAAACCCTCATTAACACACTAACACCTGGTCATCTGGGATTCTATCAATTCAGCTGAGACAACATAAAATATCCTCTAATGAATGAATGAAAAGCATTTAAGTACTCACTCTTTGCCAAATACTGTGCTAAACTGCTTGGGGCTATGAAGAGTTTCTATTCTAATGGAGGAGACAACACAGAAAAGAGTGAAGGTCAGGGAAGGGAATTATGATCTAGGAAGTCACATAGGTCATTCCATTGGCATGCCCTTTACTGAGGCAATGGCAATGTGAATTGATCACAGTTCTTGGTAAGAGAGGAAGAAAGACAGAAAAAGGATTCCTGTGTATTAGCAGTGTGGAAAATGGGCAAGGTGAAGATGAGGAGCCTGGTCCCCTCAGGGAGTACCCTGCAGAGCTGCTTATCTAAGAGCAGCAAGGGCAGGGCAGGCACAGGTGTTAGTCCATTTCTTAGTTCCACACTTACCTATGTGAACATGGACAAGTACTTAACCTCTCTGTGGCTCAGTTTTCTCATCTGCAGAATGGGAATAACATTTTACAACAATCTCCAGAAGTTATTTTAAAGAAGGTCCTTTGCAGAAGTGAAAGCATTATATCAAATGAGCTATTTGATAATCATTTAAGATTATTTGAACCCTAATAAAGGCCAAAGCCTGAACTAATCAACCAGAAGAAGCACTCTGACATGACAGACATGCTTTGCTCTGCTCTCTGAGTAAACCCAGAATGCTCCTTCCTGTGTCAACAACTACAGGACCAGATGAAGGTGACTAGGATCATTCTTCTGTTTGTGACCACTAAGGATGTGATGCCTGGGGCTGAACATTGTTTCAAATAATGGGACTTTTCTTATCTTGGTATTTTATGGACATATGCTATGTAGGGGAAACATAGATATCCTGGGACTGTAACTTCAACCAACACTCTGACACTTCTCTTATTATATTTACAATAAGATAAGAGAAGGTGATATATATATATCACTAACTTGTTTGCCCCTTTTAACCAAACTTTAAGGTCGACACATTAATATTATGTTACTATATAAAATAATAATATATTACAAATATATTACATATAACTACATATAATATATAAATATAACATATAATTACATATAACAACATATTTATAATATATTACTCTTTCCCCTCCTTGTTTAGCCAGATGTGCTCCTTAACTTTGTCACATTTTGATACCCTCTCCTCTTGCCTAGAGTTGTGCTTTATTCTCCTTCTTCCTGTTAAGGTTAGATAGTGCTTTCTAATCCTTACTTAAATCCCTATTTATTGATGAAGTTGTTTTTCACATTTCTTTCTCTGATCTGTCCTATATCCTTTCTCCCAGAGTCTCTTAGCCTCTCTCCTCTCCCAGATTCCCTATGCTTCCTTAGGAGATAATCCTTTATACTGATTTCAAATAATTCTCCATATACCTTCATACACTTCCTGTATCCCCTGAAGCTTACCTATCTCACAGGCAACTCCCTAACGCTCTTCCCTAAATCTCCATTTTCAGACTTTTTATCTCAATTTGGGATAAGACTCAAAAAAGTCTTAATTTTAAAATCTTTTTCTTTCCCTTAATCACAGCTCTCTGGCCATCTTTTTCTCATCTCTCTTAGGTAATACCCTTCCTCCAACCCCTATATAACTCTCTGACCATCCCAACTTGCCTCACCAAAACTCATTCTTTTACAAGCCAATCACATTAGTCAAAATTGTTTATTAGTCTAACCACTGTGCTTACTGCCTCACTAACTGCCCCTAGCTCCCTCAAACCCCTGATATCAAGGCTGGGTCCTCCTAGCTAGTTCCTCGGGTATATCCACTCCTCCTCCTTCAGGCCTGGCCTTTCTTCCTCATTTACCTCTTCCCATCCCCGCTCCTACCCCGGTTTTATTCCCCAGACTAGATGATCCCTTGTTTCCATGTTAAGCCCCAAGGCCCTCCCTCCTCAGACTGAGCTGCCTTCCGTAGATCACATTACTGCTTCTCCTTCCAAGTCAAACCCTACCCCAACAGACCCTGCCCACCTCCTCCCCCTTCCACTAGACAACCCACTACACTGTTTAATCCACCCCCCCATTCTGTTTCCCTCACCGACAAAGTCCAGTCTTTCTTAATCTCAGACAATAGTAAGCATTTACTAAACGCTTGCTCTGTTCTGGTCAATGCGCTAAGCACTGGGGATACAAAGGAAGGCAAAAACTTTAGTTCCTGACCTCAAGGAGCTCATGCAAATAAGCTATGTAAACTATGTACAAGCATGCTATACACAGCATAAATTGGAAATAACCAATCCAGAAAAGGCAATAACATTAAGGACTGAGAAAGGTGTCCTGTAAAGGAAAGCCAGGAGGCAGAGAATGAGGAGGGGGAGCATTCCAGGCATTGGGGGGGGGGGGCAGCCAGCAAACATACCCAGTCAGGAGATAGAGGGTCTTCCACAATGAGCAGCCAGGAGGCCACTGTCACTGGCTGGAGAGTACACGGGGAAGGAGTGAGTAAAGGTGAAGGGCTTTGAGTACCAAATAGAAGAGTTTATATTGGATCCTAGAGGTGACAGGGAGCTCCTGGAGTTTACTGAGTAGGGGCAACGGGGCTGACATGATCCGACCCTCCCTCAACATCACTTTGGCAGCTGGTGGAGGCGAGGAGATCATCCAACAGGCTGCTGTAATGATCCAGACATGCATGAGGTGATGAGACCTGCATCTCACGAGATATTATCTATAAAATGCTAAGCACAGTGCCTGGCACGTAGTAGGTGCTTAATTAAAATGCCAGTTCTCTTCCCCTTCACCACAGTGGCAGTGTCATACAGAGGTGTAAGGTCTGCAAAGATCTTTACAGGAATCTCATTCTGTTCCCATATTTTACGGATGGGGAAAGAGGGTCAGAGGTTCAGTGACTTGCCCAGTGACACACAGCTCAGAGGTATCTGAGGATAGATTTGCACTCGGGTCTTCCTGACTCCAGATGCAGGTCTCTATTCACTGCACCAGCCAGCTACCTCGAGCGGAGAAAGAGGAGAGAAGGGGTCATACTTGGGGGCGTTGTGGAGATGAAATCGACAGGCCCTGGCAATACCTTGGATTTTGGGGTGGGGGAGGGGACGAAGGCTCCCACGTCGTGGGCCTGAGGGACTGCGACAATGGTGGTGTTTCCCTCAGTGATGGAGCAGGCGCGGGCGGGGAGGGCTGAGGGGGGAAGACGAGGGGCACAGTAAGCGTCCCCCAGTGAAGCCTGCCCTTCTCCACGCGCCAAGCCCTACCCTCCCTCTCCTCAGACTTGGGCGCCTCTGTCCCCCCTTCTTCAGCTTAGCCACCTCCTCAGCTCAGGCCCCACCCCTTCCGCCCCGGTCCTCATCCACTCAGATCTCGTCCTCCCCTAGGTCCCGCCCCTTCCATAGATCGTGCCCCTCCCTCCCTTCTGGTCCCGCCTCAACCTTCCCAGTGCTCCTGCACACTAGGCCCCGCCCCTCCCCAAATCAACCCCCTCCCCCTCGCTCATGCCCCGCCCCCTCCTCAGACCCACTCCCTCCCTTCATCCTCCCCAGACAGCCTCCTCAGACAAGTCCGCTCGTCTTCCCCCACACTAGGCCCTGCCCCTCCCTAGACCCGCTGCGGGGCCCCTCCTCAGACCACGCCCCCCTCCATTCTTCCCACACGAGGCCCCGCCCCTCCTCAGACTTTGGAGGCCAGGCAGGTTTGGAGGCCTTTGAGTCGGGCGTGGCAGCAGCTGTGAGTTGCCCCAAGGGGAATGAAAAGAGACCCCGGGGGAGGGGTCAAAGACGGCTTCTGCCTGGAGCGTCGAGAAGAGCCCCCCGCCCTCCTCCTGGCCCAGCTGGGGGCGCTCGTCCTGGGTCTTTCCTGGGTCCTCAGTCCGCCTCTGACTGAGCTGCGGTGCCGACCCGGGTCCTGAAAGACGCCGGCCCCCGTCTGTGCGACCTCCAGAAAAAGGGACCCCTCTCCTTTTTCAGAAGAGGAAAGTGAGGCCCAGGGGAGCCCTGGGAACTTGACCTCCCTGCGCCTCAGTTTACTCGTCTGTAAAATGGGAGGGGTGGGGGGATAGATGTGACACTGGATGGCCTCGGAGGTCTCTCCCAGCCCTAGATCCAAGTTCCCCTGACCCCACGTCTTGCTGACTCTGAAGTCCGGCCCCCGCCCCCACCGCACCCCGGGCTGCCCAAGACTGGATCGAATCGCATTGCTTTCGAGCAGGTGGAAAGAAATGGGGAGCTCGGGGGAGGGGGGAGGGGGGAGGCGTTGCTGGACTTCTCTTTGGCGCTGCCCGCTCTGCCCGGGCTCCAGCTGGTGCCAGCCAGGGCTCTGCTCTTTCTGCCCAAGGTCAGTGTAGCTGGAGTCCTGAGAGGCACGAACCCAAGGGTCAGAAATGACCAGGACCTCTGGCAGGGACCCTCAAGCCTCCTCCCCTCCGCCTCCCCCCGGTCAAAACAAGGCAGGGTTTGTGAGAGTGGCGTTTGTTCATTAGTAATAACAGTAATGGCCAGTGTTCCTGCAGCACAGGGTCCCGGGAGGGAGTACTGCAAGGCTAAACAGACTCGGATCCGTCTGTGATGATACAAGTCTTGACCAGCTCGAACACTTACACTTGTTACCTGCTTGTTGATTGGTTCAGGGCATCCGTCTGCCTCTAAACAAGCCTCACAGTAAGTATGCATGTTGTTGTAGCTCTCCTTTCTCCTTCCTCCTTCCTTCTTGAACAGCATCTCTGGGTGGTGTCTTGACTTGCGCGTGAATCGGATTGAAGTGAGGCAGAGCTGAGCAAAGTCGTCAGCCTCTCTCCTCCAAAGTCATGGAAGTCAAGTGGCAAGACAAAAGTCAAGACACGATGGCCTGGGATGCAATGAGTGACCTGGGCCTTTTTAAATCAAGGTCTTTCCTGGGTCTCAGTTTGTTTGAGGCAACACCTATTCAATGACTAAGGGCTAGGTAAGAATGGGGAGAGGGGGTGGGATAAGTCCAAATGGACAACCTGGACAAGGCACTTAAACTCCTAGTGTTGTAGGCCTGAGGGATCAAATTTACCTGAACCAGATTAAAATGTTAATTTGTGGTTTTCTAAGTCAATATGCCTCTTGCAGGATCTATTTCTGTTTGAGTTTGGCTCAGCTGGGCCACTCTCTAAAACCATAAATTGCAGAGATGCCAACCTGCATTATTAGAGAGAATTTCTTCATAAGAGAGGTCCCTCTACCAATGAAATTCAGCTTCCAGTCCTATACAGAGGAAATAACAGGAAGATCTTATAAATGCTTTTTGATTGAACTGAATTTATTCAACATATTAAGTGCCAGGAATTGTGCTAGGCATAGGAAAAAGAAGAATGATCTCTGCCATGAGGAAGCCAAGTATAGATTCTCCTAAGGGAAATAAGGAGTACATAGATGAGTTAATACACAGTATATATATGAAGGTAAATTTGGAGAGTAAGAGGAACACAGCAAGTGATCCAGATGTAAAATATTACCTCTTTGGGGCATAGTATTTAACCAAATCCAGGCCAGGTGGGTGGCACAGTGGAGAGAGTGCCAGACCTGGAGTTAGGAAGACTTATCTTCCTGAGTTCAAGTCTCGCCTCAGATTTTCTAGTTATATGACCCTGGGCAAATCACTTAACCCTATTTGCCTCAGTTCCTCTTCTGATAAATGACAGAGAAGTCGACTTTCTTGCCCAAGGTCACACAGCTAATATGTGTAAGGAATATTATATGGAATATATGTATATATTCCTGAGGCAGGAATCATTTCCTTCTGAGTCCAGGGCAAATGCTTTATCCACTGGCCACCTAACTGCCTGTATCATGCTTTGTAACACTCAACTAACTAGATTATATTGTAAGTGATTGATAATCATTACAAGGGGAATAAGAGAATTTGAAGACATAGAGTGGAATACTAACCTGTGTCAGGATGTTAGGGGGTAGAAATATGTGACTTAGAGAAAGAAGGCACAAAGCACTTTGGAACTTCTTAAACTCTCTAGCAGAGCCACTAGCCTTGGATCTTCTGATGAGGGAGGCCCTTTTCTTGCTCTTAGGAAAAAATAATCATAGCTGTTACAAGAAGAGACACCACATAAGACTGGTCAGTAATGGTCACTCCTCTGCTCAATAAACTTCATTATGTTTTTATTGACTATTGGATAAAATATAAACTCCTCTGTTTAGTTTTTAAAGACATTCACAATCTGGCCCCAACCCACCTCTCCAACTTGGACAGAGTGCTGGGCCTGGACTCAGGAAGACTTAAGTTCAAATCTGGTAGCTGAGTGACCCTGGGCAAGTCTCTCAACCTTTCTCAGCCCCAATCTTCTTTACTGTAAAGTGGGGATAATAATGGCACCACCTCCAGGGTTGCTTTAAGGATCAGGTAAGATATTTGAAATGTGCTTAACAGCACCTGGCACTTGATATATTCTCTTCCTCATTGTTAATTCAATACCAAGAATTCTCTTCTCAAAGAAATACTAGGAAGCACTGACTGGCAAAAATGAAGACTTTGTATTGTCCTAGTTGGGGTAAAAAAAAAAAGTCCTTTATTAATCAAAATTGATTTGCATTTTTATAACTTTTTACCTGTAAGAGCATCTTCATACTTCTCATTGCCTTTTAATTGAGTTTCAAGTCTACAACACGTCAGAGTAAACTTACCCTAATTTCTTTCTTCTCTCTTTTTACCAACTCCAATTAACCCCAAACTGAACCTTAAAAATTGCTGAATTCTACTTCTCTTTACATATTGGTTTGATGTTCCATTTTTCCCCCCAGTACTGTTCCTTTCTCAAGCCTACACCTCTGATTCCAAATTATGTCTTACACCATTTTTAGACCTAGTCTCCTTACTCCATTAATCTCTCCTTCACAAGTTAGCCCATTTTTCTTAGGTATCACAAATCCATTGCAAAACTTTGGTTTTCGATAGAGCACTGGCCTTGGAGTTAGGAGGACCTCAGTTCAAATCCAACCTCAGACAACCCTGGGCAAGTCACTTAACCCCCATTGCCTCACAAAAAAACAAACAAACAAACAAACAACTTTGGTTTTCCCCAATTAGAACTGAAACTTCAAACTTTATAGACATTTTCTTGTTTCCTCAAGTAAAGCACTTCAATTTTGGGAACACAGAGATGAGATTGTATCTTTGGAAAGCTTTGAAACTTTTGGCAAGAAAGTTCTCCTCCTTTTTGCCTTTTTTTCCCTTTTGGTTCATCAGACCACGAGAAAAGTTCAGCCAGACTTAACCAAGACACAGAATATAGACAATGTTGACAGAATATACTTTACATTACACAGAACAAACAAAACACCGAAGGAGAGTTTACATAGATATCTGACACACCCATGGATTCTCTGTGTAATCCACATGCCCTAATGGTCTGAGAGGGAACCACTGACTGCCCAGAACTCTTTATGAGGAGAGCTATCCTCAGGTCTGCTCTGATGCTCACTTCAAGATAAGATCAATCTTCTACACTCAGTCAGGCAATCACTGGCCATCATTTATACATTCTTGCAGCCCAGCCAAATGACTATTTCTGTTCATTTCACTGGAGAAGGATTTTCCTAAGGTTCAAGGAACAAGGGATTAAGAATGAAGTCTTAGTCCTAGCTCTGGTGTTGCTCAGACAAAAGAAGTGTCCCTCCCATTAAGGAATGAAGTTCCAACATCCAGCTATTGTAGTCTACTTTCCTAAAGAGAGGAGGCAGCTAGGTGATTCAGTGGATAGAGTACTGGGCCTGGAGTCAGGAAGACCTGAGTTCAAATATGACCTCAGACCTTACTATGTGATTGTGGTCAAGTCACTTAATCTCTGTTTGCCTCAATCCAGTGGAAAAGGAAATGGCAAACCATTCCAGTATCTTTGCCAAGAAAACACCATGAATAGTATGGTCCACAGGGTCATGAAGAGTCAGACATGACCGAGCTACTAAACAGCAACAAAATTCCTTGAAAGAAATCTTGAGAATGAAGTGTGGCTCCCAAGATGTGTGGTCCAATCCTTGGTCAATAGTTTATCACTAAGACAGACCCCAGGACGGAAGGCGCTTTCTTATAAAGCAATAGCCAACAAACAACTAAATCAGTACCCTTTCCATCACTTTTTAAAAATTATTTACTTGGTATTTAATTTTTTCCCTGATTACATGTAAAAAAACAATTTTTAACATTTGTTTTTTTTTTAATTTTGAGTTCTAAATTCTCTCCATTGAGAAAGCAAGCAGTTTGATATAGGCTATTCATGTGCAGTCAGGCAAGACATATTTCCATATTAGTCATGTTGTGAAAGATAACACAGACCAAAAAATAAAAGCCAAAACAAAGAAAAATAAAGTCTAAAAAGTATGCTTTAATCTGTATTCAGACTCCATCAGTTCTTCTTCTGCAGATGGATAGCATTTTTCATCATAAGTCCTTTGGAATTGTCTTAGATCATTGTATTGCTGAGAATAGCCAAGTCATTCACAAGTCTTCATCATACAATATTGCTGTTACTGTGTACAATGTTGTCCTGGTTCTGCTCACTTCACTTTGCAGTAGTTCATGTAAATCTTTCCAGGTTTTTTTTTTCTGAGAACATCCTGCTAGTCATTTCTTATACAACAATGGTATTCCATCACAATCATATGCCACAACTTGTTCAGACATTCTCCAATTGATGGGCATCCCCTCAATTTCCAATTCTTTGCCACCAGAAAACAGCTGCTATGAAAATTTTTGTACTTACAGGTCCTTTTCCTTTTCATTTTTTATCTCTTTTGGATACAGACCTAGTAGTGGTATTACTGGATCAAATGTGTGTGATTTTGTAGCCTTTTGGGGATAGTTCCAAATTGCTCTACAAAATGGTTGAATCAGTTCATGACTCCACCAACAGTACATTAGTGTTCCAATTTTCCCACATCCCCTCCAACATTTGTCATTTTCCTCTTCTGTAATATTAGCCAATCTGATAGATGTGAGGTGGTATATCAGAGTTGTTTTAATTTTCATTTATCTAAATAATAGTGATTGAGAGTATTTTTTCATATGGCTATAGTTAGCTTTGGTGACTTCATCTGAAAACTGCCTGTTCATATCCATTGACCATTTCTCAAATGGGGGATGGCTTATTTTTATAAATTTTATTCAGTCCTCTATATATGTGAAAAATGAGGCCTTAATCAAATAAAATTGCTGTAAAACTTTTTTCACAGCTCTGATTACTAACTGTATTTCCCTCCATCCAATTTTCCCCTGTTTATTCTACTCTCTCCTTTCACCCTGTCCATCCTCAAACATGTTATGCTTCTGACCACCATCTCCCCCAATCGCCCTCCTATCAGCCCATCCCCCTTCTTTTATTCCTTTCCCCTCCTACTTTCATGTAAGGTTATATGTTATATGTTATATGTTATATATTATATATGTTATTCCCTCTTTGAGCCAATTCTGATGAGTGTAAGGTTCAAGTGTTCTCATCTACCTCTCCCACATTCCCCTCCATTGTAAAAGGTCTTTTGTGCCTCTTTTATATGAGATAATTTACCCCATTCTACCTCTCCCTTTCTTCAAGTACATTCCTCTTTCTCACTTCTTACTTTTATTTTTTTTAAATATCAAGCCATTATATTCAATTCACACCCATGCCCGCTGTCATAATGGGAAA